TTTGGTTTTTAAGAACTTATCCCAACAAAACGTGTATACTACGAAGTACAATAGTGTTTTAGAATCTAGAACGTAGTGGCTGTAATGATATATCATAATTACTATGATCGATTTTTTCGACCGCCCGATTACGATATCAGGTGGACGTGTGCCATCAGGGCTTCATGTTACCCTTTGTCACCTTTAACTATTATCTATGGACACCTTCATATTTACTTAATTTTATCGGTACCGTTTGCGCAGTGTGACCATCTGCTAAATGTATCGTGGGTTTGGTTCTGGCTTAAAAAAGCCTATTTGTATGATATGTCTATGTATTGTAATTTGTTCGTGGTCTGGGTGTGAAATGTATCACAATAATAAATAAAACAGTGTAGTATACTAATAATTAATACACCCGTATATCCCCAAGCGCTCACTGGTGACCGCTCTTCACTAAATAAATTATAGACCTTATTTCCAATGTTTAGAGACTACTTTTGTATGAATAAATTTAGGTGATGATTTTCAACAATTTTCAAAACAGGTTAATGTATTTTCAATAAAATGTCTATTGAAGATATTGAGAATATGGGAAGAATAGCTTTCCTCGTCCATATAATTTCAGTAAACACAACGTTGTTTCATAAATATATTTTAGTTCCACTGATTTGCAAATCGATCGATTCTACGTGAACAAAGTGCCGCAACGTACACAACACACAAATGCTTACACCTATATTGTACTGTTTGCATTCCTCACAGGAGCGAATTTCTTTTATTCTGATTCAGAACTCGTTCACTTTCGGTGGATGGTTATCTCGACTTCTTTGTTCGATATTGCTTAGATTGGTAAGGTTCTAAGTGCACGCGTCTAGTTGCCCACCTAGAACCTTGTTAAAGTGAGCCGACATCGTGTCATTAGAGGGCGTGAATATTTAAGTAGAGATGGCGGGAGCGGGCCGCGGTTTACTCCCATTCCCGCTTGGGTTATAGGACGGTTGGGATTACCTTCTCATTGAATTAATTCTGTTTGCTGATGAAAAAGGCACCACCAAATTCCATTTCAGCAGAATGGAATAGTTTGCATACACGGGTACCGAGAACCTACTGACAATCGATTGGTTTCTAATGCTATTTATTATTTTTCAACCTGAATAACATCTCTTACCGTAATTTTTTTACGTAAGTATAAAAAAGTATAAAATTCAAATTATGGAATTATACAATTCATGGAATTCTGCTAACAGACGACAAAAACCATCTTTACAATTTTGCCTACGAGATTTGATGTAATGTTTTATCAGTACAAGTGCATTTGATTTGACCTAATTCTTATGACATAAGCTTAAGCCTTCATCCAAAAGCTGCTAGTTGGTTTTGTAACAATAACTGCAAAGATCGGTCCATCAAAAAGTCTCATTTTTCTCAGATGTTTGACAACGGACTATTAAGTCGAAACAAACAACTGCGACTCGTGGGGTTCGAGTGGCAAGTGAAACCGTGAGACACGATAGCCCAGTTGACAGAGGTGGACTGTCGCGGGTTGGAATCCCTGCTCGTGTCATTGTTTTTTTTTTTGAAATTTATTCAGTTTTTTGCCTTAAACAACAAAATGTATATTTATCAATTGGGACATTTTGGACAATACTTCTTAATTTTCTTCAGTTCATTAAATGAGTAAAATATATTTACGAATCCAACGTACTTTCACCAAACACGTTTCTCAGGCAACAGGAATATAAACAAAACATTATTTCCTCTTTCTGCAGTCAGTGTAAACTTTGTAATTTCACGGAAACCATTATGCTACACTAGTGTAAATCGAGGTGGACCAATATTGTTACACAATAAAGCTCCGTCTACAGCCTAGTGCACAACTGTTTACCCATATTGCCCATATTGGTTAAATGATGCGGCTTTAATGCCCTCGTAAACTTACAAGACGCATCGCCAACTGTTCCCTACCACTGAGCGAAGCTAATTCCATTCATTATTATTATCTGTCTTAATTGCCATCTCTTAATAACTCCCTGCTCTCGTAGTCTAGTCTGTTTACTTCATTTACCACCTTCAGGTAAAGTTGAAATACCTTATAAGGATGTCGCAATAACTGCCTTGAAACTTATAATGAAGCCATACAGTCGTCATAACTCAACGTTACTGTTAGTTGATATTTATAAAAAATCCTGTTCGGAAGGTGCTAAACAAACATTTGTACAGACGAAAGGCCCTTCGGTCTGTTTGTATGGTTATGATACCAAGATTTTTCCTCTTCGCTCGGCGTGTTGGCTTTGTTTTAATCGTCGTTACATTTTGCCGGCGGAATCTCGCCGGATTCTATTGTTCACGCGCTTTGCGTTACGCAATCAAGAGGGGTCATTCAGTCCGCGCCCAAAAGTCGCACCCGCGAAGTGGAGAACAGTCATATCCTATCGATTTGTTAAGATGGCGTGCGCGGGAGGGTTACGGGGGGAGCATGAGGGTGACGCGGGTGGTAAGGGTGGGCGCAGCCTCCGCGCGGCGCAACGTGCAGCCTCACTTGCACCTGCCCTGCCGTAACCACGACACACTAGCGACATCGCGCCGCACGACCTATGTGACGCTTGTTGTACACTGCCCACCACGTCACCACATGACGTGAGGTCGCGAGCCGCGACACTTTTTATTGATGCCACTTTGTTATTTCGCTACCTGTAACTGCAAACACGAATTAATTGAATATTAATGATTGTGATTGAAATTCAAAAAATATTATTACTTTCAGACGTTAGGAATAATAACCCAACATCTCTTGGCCTCTATTAAACTACCTATCTTGGGTTTAAATTAATGCATGCAAGTCTAATAAAACACTATACCAAAGGCCAACCAAATGAAATAACGTAACGAGCAAAAATGCTTATGCAAGAGTCAAAGTCGAGGTTTTTCTTATTAAAGCTGTCACGTACGTCAAAAGCTAGAAGTAAACATTGTACAACGTCGATTAAACGCGATAGTTGTCGTAGGTCACGGCAATATCAAAGTTGTCGACAGTGTACACGCACCTTTACCCGGGATCTCAAGTCGCGCCCTCGACGACCGCGGCGTCCCGGTCTCCGGTGGCCGACGCTCAGGCCGTCAAGGTCGCAGACGAACCCTGGCACACTGTTACACATTCTAACTATACACTTTTAATTGTCCATTATGTGTATACTGACCCTTTTTTCACCTTATTATTCATTAATCTTTTATGAGCTTATACTGTACGCTTGAATAAGCAGTAAACTTTCACTTCGAAAATCATTAATATTGAAAATTTTAATTTACCCGTGTACCTACCTATACGTACGGCTAATACGAGTTTTGAAACAAGTTTTTAGTCGATTGAAGCATACGATCAATGCCCGGTCGAATTTTTGAATACGTAATGTTGTAAAGCAACGTATTTTAATCAATGATATTCTTTGATATATTATGTTATTCGCATCAATTTGACATACGTAATAAAAATAGTAAAGCAATCAATTTCAAAAGTTACAATTGGGTTATAAGATAGGAACAACAAGTTAAGAATTCGTATACACTTGCTTACTGGCCAGGGCGACACTTATCTGGTGAAGTGAAGCACAAAAATAATATTCTCTGCCAAACCAAAGTTAACGTTGAGTGTTTGGAATAAAGTCGAAAACAATGAACTCTCGCAGACCACGAGAGAATCAAAGCGGCAGCAGTGAGCCGTTAAGTTTATTCATTTTCGACTTTATTCCAACTGCGCCGCCCCTAACGCTTCCATGGCTTTCCTGTGAGAACTCCTACTTCCCTACTGAGACGTTTTTGTCTACGTATTGCGGTGTTTCGCAACAATATGCATATTTGAAACAACCACAACATTTACCCCAGTTATTCTTTTTTTTTTTTCGATGTATCTGCACTTGCGTTGATGCAGTTCAATAACTTTATGGGGCTATGCATTAGCATTTTTTTATATAGGAGTTTTAATAAATCAGCCGATATTTGAAAACTGAAAAAACTTATCCTTGAAGTTAGCATATTCTTGCCCCACATTCTTACCGGCTTGTCAGTTGTGCTATTGAAATTATAATTATACCTAGTTCCATCTTACCTTCATCCTTACCTTTCACACGTATTGCACCGGCTAACCCGTAATCGGTGCGTGTGATATAGTTGGTTAAGGCATTAGCTCTTCGCAAAAATATTTTGAGTCGTTTAATAACATAACATCATGTTTTTATTACGTGTTCCATACGAGTGACCCACACCCACTTTTCATCAAGTCCTGTGTGTAAGTGCTTTTCTGAGAATTGTCATAAACCGAAAAGCTCTATAACTAATACTTTCCTGACTCGCGAACTGAAGTCGGAACCCCGTGTTAGGCAGTCGACCCATGTCATGATTTGCGAAAGAACAAAATCATTTTAATATTCGACATTGCAAAAATTCCCTGTGAAGGTTATAATTATAAAATGTGTGTGTCGACGTGTCGTTTCCTCTTGCGATATTTAATCATTTACCTTATGGGTACCTATATACTACAACGGGCTGCTCGTAAATGGGAGGTTAATATCTAAATTACCAATTTACTTTTCTACAGAGTGTACTATCTGACAAGTAACGTGTTTAGGCACTCAGGAAGCTGAGAAAGGATATAGTTATTTCTTGTACAAAACCACTACTTGTAGGTTGTAGGATTCTAAAGAGTCTGCCATGCCATTACATAAACTATGTGCAATTATGCATATTATTTTATCGCCCTTCGGATTCAAAAACAAAACCTGTGCGATCGAAGTCACTGTAATGTAATCACGTAAATCGTTGTCGTTTTAGCTTTTTTTTCTAAACTAGGTATCTTTTTTTTTTAACAGTCTGACTCAGACATCTGAGGAGTTTAGGCTTCCGACTACCGAAACATCGTTGTATCGATTCTTGACATAAGCCTAATACGTCGAACAAAACTAACTGTTCGAGATATGGATAAACTTTAAGTTTGTAATCAAACTAACTCTTCATTCATGTTGCAGTGGCCCAGTCGGAAGACTCACCAATCGCGATGAAACTCAAGAAAATATGCCTTAAAACGCCGGTCGGCGAGGAACAAGCAGCACAAGCAGTTCTCGACCCTGCGCTAGGTAAGTAAAATCTTCTCCAATCTAACTATTACTCAAAACAACAATGTCATTGTCAAGTATCCAACCATTATTCATACTATCTTTTGACTTAAGTAAAGCTTTTGGTTGTATAATCTCGAAAACGAATACAGCTTCTGGTGAGCATGTTCAAAACATACCCATTTATTTTAAAGCTGTGTAGCCGTTAGTGCGAGTTTGCAAAAGGACGTAAAAAGTTGAAACAACTTTGAACCTTCGCTCTTTTTTGATTTCAAGTTCAACTGCTTGAATTTCGAAGAGCATATTAACTAGATCTTGTTTTTCTTTGTTGTACTACTCTCTGCTACTAGATGAGTTTGAACTTGGTAGCTGCAACTACACTACGTAGAATGTAGCTTACTGGGGTATTGAAATATTCATTCGTAACCTTAATTACAAGTGAATTATTAAGTATATTAGGAACTTGCTCTATATATTAAGTCCATGTTCATGTACAATGGTAGCATACGTAGATTGTACTAACGTGTCGTCGTCCCGTTGATTGAATTGTGCTTTTATTTCCCATCACGCCACGCATCGAGGCTATGATGTCATCGATTTAATTGCGGCGACCACTTCATTACCTACCTATAAAAGCGACATTTATTTCAGTCTTCAACGAAATAAGCTTCAACGAGTCCGACATCGGTCGATCGATCTGTGGAAACTTTACGGTGTCGTTATCTTTTTATGCAGCGCTTTGATTTAATTCCCTTTTTCCAATGTCAAGTTTCGATTTTAGCAAGCCAAGTCGCTATTTCTTTTACTGCCGTTTTATATCTTTCGAGTGTAGTCCACCACCGCGGTCGACAGAGTTCAGTATGCGTGACGGGTTACATCACATTTCTCTGTATACACCGTCCACGTATGTGATATATGAAGCGTTGCCTATGTGTAGGTACAGGGTAGACATTCGTGCACAGGTCGTTAATGGTACAACGTGGATCTGTTGTGTGGTACGCGGGTGGAATAACCTATAATTAGATGCGCGTACACCAATCCTCAGTCGTGGAACTCGTAGATGTGTCGTTTACGCTACATCCGTTGATATATTTGATGCAGGAACATTGTCGGATTTGCGGATACCGTAACAACGTCAACGTATGCAATGCACTACTTATGCAACTTATTATTTAATTATTCTGTCTAATCAAAGAACTTGACCCCCTTTCCTTTGCGACACCAAATGTCGACCTAAAATCGACTAGTTAATAAAAATTTTGTTTATGTTATTCTGAATTTTGTTCTTTGCTAACAATTTCTCAGTGGTTTACATAATCGGTTAACTCGTTTATTACTAGCCAGACTAGACACGTGCTTGGCCTTTACAAACTTTTAAGTTTCTCATAGTTTACTTGGAAAATCAAGCTTAAACCTTGGGCAGCAAAGAACCCATACAAACATACTTTGTTGGTCCCTAAGAAGTGAGTGCCTAATCTAAGTAATGAACTTAAATGTGGAAAACAGAGTTGAATACGAAGTGTTTAGGTTTTGAAGTATCTACAGATACAGACCAAACTACTTTATCAAGATCGACATTTGCATATCTGACAATGTGGTTACCAACTTTGTTATGTTACCACAATGTGTGATAGTTGTGATGATGCATGTCATACTCATTTTTACAAATGATCACAATTTGTAGTTAAATCTTTGTATTACACCTGTAGGCACAAACACCAACGCTAGTACGCTACACTATCATCTGTAGAACCTTAACTCACACATGGCTTATTTTACCTAGCTCGTGTACAATTTGCAGCCGTACAAAGTGGGGGGTTAAGGGGGGTGGGTCTCGCGTATCGGGCGGTGTGATAAGTGACGACTATCCGTCAATGTGTTGCATAGGTGAATGTATGTGAGGTGGTGGTGTATCGGACAATAGGAGCTCGTCGGTGCAGTTTCGGCGGCGGAACGCGGGGATCGGCATGGGTGGTGGCGGCGGCGGCGGTGTTTCTCCGGCGTGCGTGGCACTGCAGTTCTCCTCCACGGCCGGTAATTTGATTGGGCCCGAGCTGTCACCTATGCGCCGCAGTCGCCCGGCCGTCGCTCGCCGGCTATCGATTAGAGCCCCCGCCCCCTGCCCCCGCGCTGCCCGCGAACCGGATCTCGTCACGCCGCCATTGTATACCCGCGACGCTTAAACGCATTCGTTTCTCCCGATGCGAAAACGACGCATTCCTTCCGCGCGCCCTCCCGCCCCGCAACGGCCGACCGCGCGCCACACCGCGCGGCGCCACACAGGACCGACCGACCCTCTCATTACACTCTTACCACATTACCACTCCAAGCCTCACGCTGCCACACCGACCGCGACAAGCGTCATCTGCAAATAACAAAAAATTGACACAATTAATTATTTCTTCCATGAGCTGTTTACCATTAATCCCATTTGGATTTCCCATTTTCGTCGCTTTATGGCTAATGAATTTTTTGTAAGTTTGTGCACTTCGTGAAGCGCTTACTTATCTAGTTAAGTTGTAATCTTAAGCTTGGGGTTGTAATGCTGAATAAATATAAAGTATCTATACCCAGGACTACCTATGTGTATTTATACTGTAAACTGCAATACTATCAACTGGTTGATTTTGCCGTACTAATACTACGAATAAATGACGTTGCAACAACACTGCGCTCGCGCAGATCAACGTACTAACATTGTTGTGCAATTCAGTATTAGGTCCACTTGCACTAACTACTTACCTAAGCTGGTTTATAGACGAAGTATCGTAAAATTTAGGTTATTACTGTGACTTAAGTTATGCCAGTTAGAGTTATCAACTTTGCGTCTCTGAGCGGATAGCATACGTGGATGTCTAGATGTCGTAAGGCAAGCTTTATCGAACTTGGCCAAGTTCACTAGTTCAGACAACTTTTTGTCAAAGAGTTGAATATTTTTTGTCAAATGACAAATAACACGTCTGCACTAGAAGAGTTAAAGATTTAGATTGTCTCAATTTGAGAACATGGTAATAACTGGTCTAGAGAATAATAAATGTATGGTATCCTGTCCTAGAGAAGCCTGAAACATCCTTATTTAAAGTTACAGGGTTACCGTTAAGAATAGGACTGTCATTGCATTGCATTTGAGTACCGACATCATGTAAGGTCAGATCGGGAGCCAGACGAGTCAACAAGTAACCTGTTGCTAGTTTGCTAACTATACTCATAGTAGTCCAACTCACACTTTTTTATAAAACCTTTTTCTTCTGATCAGCTAAATGTTAAAAACCTACCTGTGAGACCCGTGTCAAACGTGTATCATCTTCAATTTCCTTACACTAAACTACGATATGAGCATAGGCCACATTTATAATTATGTGAACTTGCGGTTGTCGAAATTTTTTTTTATTAAGACTGGTTGTCCGTGTTTATTCAGTCGATATTCTTATCTCGATGGCATCCGGGTGTAAGCTATAGGTATACGTCTCTAAGCGTAGTTTATCTGGAAGGAACTGGAACACATACTATTATAATGATGGTACACTAAATTACGATGCTTTATAATGTTCATTATTAGTAAGCATGTTTGTGTCTTCGAAATTACACACAGGTAACAGTAATTTGAAAATCAGGCTAGATACGATTATCATTCCGAAATAGAATAAAAACTTCAGACATCTCGGGGATTGCATTGATGGAAAAGTACGTGGTCAAATCAACACGCATCTCCAAATAGTATAGGGTCCTAACATATTTATGCAATATTCATTAGTAACATTTCAGAGATTCTGACGCTACGCGATACAAACAATATTTGCCTCACAAAGTTTTTGAATTTAGGATTCAGTGATACCCTCATTACAGACGAACTGGTGACGGTCTCGAGTAACGGTAATCTATTCTTTAACAACTCGTGCAATATATTCAAATATCCTACAACGTCTCACTCGTTTTTGAAGTTCCTACTAATCGCTGTTTTGTAAAACTGGTTTTTAACGGCGCACCAGAAACGTACATAGTTACATACCATGGAGTAGCGTTGTTTCTATGCCGTGTCAAGAAGATTTTGGTGTGCGCGTTGCTAAATTAACGTTCCCTCATCGACCAAAATTCTTTAAGTAAACGATTCTTCTGGATCGCCATCTCAGTTGATGAATATTTGACGTATGGAGTCAATAGTTCGAATTACAATAGATTTTTATTTAATTGCAATTGTGTATAAAGGGATAAACCCTAGTGATGGAAGTGTGGGAGAGCCATGCTTCAGCACGAATGAGCCGGCTCGACCGGAGTGATACTACGGCCTCACAGAAAACCGACGTGAAACAACGCTTGCGTTGTGTTTCGTCTTGTGAGTGAGGTTACCGGAGCTCCAATTACCCTCCCTCCCCAGTCTCCCCAATTCCCTAATCCTGTAAAATCCTCAAATTCCCAATTCCCAAAAGGCCGGTAAAGCACTTGAAAAGCCTAGGTGTTTCAGGTGTCATTGGGCGGCGCCGATTGCTTACCATCAGGTAACCCGTCTTCTAGTTTACTGACTTATCCCATAAAAAACATCATTTCTATGAAAGTATTGCAATATTCTAACTGGTTATTGGTTTTGGACAAATCTAACATACTCATTTTGGCGCTGGCCGTACTTACAAAAACCAGCGGCCTGTCTCACATGGACTTTAACAAAGTTCTCTCGAGTTGGTTCCGAAGATCCAACCTGTAGAAATAAAATTAGCCCATGATTCCTACTTTTTGAAAATTGATCTTGACGATCCCCAAAGGTTAAAGAAATTTGTCCATCAATGAAATCGGTCCTGTATTTTGGAGCTTGTTCAATGCATACAAACTGATTTTGATACCTTTTCTCTTAATATTAGAAATGAGAAATAGATAAAAAGTATAAGACTACTTAGCTTTTACACCAGTATTGTCGTAGTAGCCCAAATTAGAATAAATATGTAGTTGATCGGTGTCATGGTGTCATCGTACTAACGACACGGATAATATCATTATTTTCAGATTTCTTGTAATATTCGATCATATCT